ACAACAACAACAACAACAACAACAGCAGCAGCAGCACCAACAACAACAGCGACGACGACAACAACATCCACAACAGCAACAGCTAAATAGATGTAGTAAACCGGCAGGAACGCCACACACATATCAAACCTGAAATCCATGAATACGTTTATAGCAGTGAAAACACACAGTCAATACAATACAAGGGATCACAAAGCCGGTTGGGACAAGACTCTCAGACTCTCTGTCAGCTTGATGGTATGAAGAGAACACAACCTGATAGTACAATGGAACAGACACCCACCACCCAGTCAGGACGTGACTACATGTGAGAGGTTGCATGAGTGGTTGTGACGACAGTGCCATCACTGCATCATTGTCTAGCAAACAAGCTCAGCTCAAGCCTATCCTAACAGATTAGTATCATCGCAAGTGTACAATGTCGTGTTCAAGTATGGGACATGGCTGACATACCATAGTGTGCACATTGCCAACACACTCAAACGTGTAGTCCAAGCCACCATCAGTCAGCTCAACCAACACCTGAAAAACACACACCAGGGAACGAGCAGTGCAGATAACGTTATACATGACATTTGAGTCAGCCACACCACCATGTCTTAGTACATCAGATACACTAGCTGCACACATACTTCAAGTAGCTCTATAATTATGTGAGGACCTGTGATATTCGCGTCCACACGTGAAACAATGCTTGGTGCTGCACAACCATAGCAGTACTGGGCTTCGCACTCAAACACACAGTATCATTTTGATCACAGAATAAAGTTCAGATGTGTACAGTCATGCACATCACAGGTAACAACACCCACAGCTATAGATAGTTATACACAGCTATGTAGAGGAGACAGTTTCAAATAGGAAATAGGTTGCAAACCGGAAAGGGCTCACTATTCGCTTTCTCTCTTGGTATTTCGATTAGAAAACATATGTCACAGGGAGACTATGATGTGTTTTACTCCGAGCCAAAATTTCATGGCTCTGCGATGACCAGCGCCATACCAAGCAGGTGAGTTTTTGACGTGTTGCTTCGCACTGCGACTTGAGTTTTCCGTCTTTCGAAAAATCAACTTCTTGTCGCAGGTAAACAGCGGCTCGCTCGCCTCTCGCCAATATAGCACCGTATACCAATGAAAACTAATGGAAGCACACACAAGGCTTATTGTTGCTCTGTACTGGCCGTCGTGGAGCGATAGCAATTACCTAATTTCAGAACCCAGAGTGAACTTGACATGCACTCCAAAACATTTCCGGTTTGGAGCCATCTCTGTGACACCAAAATTTGAGGGCAACTTGGAGGCAACGAGCCAACACAAAGGAGTGGCTCAGTTCGATCGACTCTGGCCTCAGAGCAAACTTCAACATGCCAGATTCCTTCCACAAACATATTTCGAGTAACAATCCACGCTGATGATCGGTTTGGGTCTACATAATTTTGCTGTCAAACCGTTCCTATTTGAAACCGTCTCCTCTACAGCTCTGTACAGCTATACATCGTTATACACATGTATACACAGGCAAGCACAGAACACATACCTCCTGAGTCTTGCGCTCATGGTCCTTGGGGTTGAAGAACTCGGTGGCACCAAACTGCTTGGCTGTCAACACAAACAAAACAAACAAAAAACAGCCTCAAAGAAAAAAATTGTGAAGACGACCTGACCTCATGGATTGGATGACGGGAAACAAAATTACTAAGCAACACTTCGCAGCAATGAGGTACACTGTTAGCGCAGCAAGCAACTCCATGGTGAGAATAAAGCAGACCTCCAGTCACAACACTGATGACTACTACAGTTGCGCTCACTGAAATCCGACCCACAGTGCAAAGCTGGCGCCCTGGACCAGTTCCGATTACATCATTGTATGTGTACATGTGTACGTCCAGCCGCATTCATTCCATTTCGAGGACGTCAAGGGCCGTGGAAGTTGAGGGCGCCAGCTTTGCACGTTGGGTCGGATTTCAGTGAGCGCAACTGTACAAGTGCAGACAAGGACATTTTAGAAATGGCACAAGAAGGCCCAACACTTCATTGGACAATGGATATCCCGAACATGGCTGTACCAGCACAGGTACACAACAATCTCAGAGACACTCCGAACAGTTGAAACCATATCCAATACAGAACACAACACAGCAACAACCTTCAAGGGAACTAGGTAATAATACCCAGCTTAGCACAAGACTACATGATGTACGGTATGTGCATGTGTACATGTACATACCGAGCTCTGCCTTGTCCGGGTTGATGTCCACTGCAATGATGCGTGTGGCACCGGCCTCCTTGCAGCCCATCACGACGGCAAGGCCCACAGCACCCATGCCCCAGACAGCAACAGAGCTACCCTCCTCCACCTGCAACCAGTCACGACAATAACAATAACAACACCAACGACAGCGACAGCAACAACAGCACCTACATTAGTATCCACATAAGCAAATACGAGAAGGAGAAAGACAAGCTTCGTGGCAATGATGGTAATTACTGAGGAAGAAGGAGTTGAATCAGAGCAGCCCTGTTTTACTATGCTCAAAGACACTGACGTTTCAAAAAGAGTGATCAGTGGACGTGCGCTGTTGTAATCATACAAACAGCATGCAACCTGCTAAGCTTCTTACATGGGCGCACACTAATAACAAAGGTGCAACATGGCTGGAGGTGCAGTAGCAATAACACAACCACACAACAATACAACTAAGTCTGGCTAAAGTTGCAGTGCTAGGCTGGCGCAGCACCTGCTACTGTAACACATTCACAGGCCCACCAGTCATTCTCCTTTTCATTAGCTTTAGCATGTTCATTCACATTCTTCATCATTTGTGAGAACTAGACCTGGTCTAGTGAGAAGGCATTCTACTGCCTGTAATTCTGGTGAAGTAAAATAAAGTAACAACAACAACAACAACGTTTTCCTGCAAAAGTTCTCAAGATGCCACACATATAGTACATTACTTGCAGGCATCCTGTCCCACTGACACATGCATGACTACAGCAAAGGTACAGTTTCAACTGAGGGCGTAAGCCGGTAAGGCAACACCCACAGGTGTGACCTCCAACAGCATACAATATAGCAGTAACAACACTGTTCCAATGGCTACACAGTAACACCACAGCACACATCAATAGCACCATATACATGTACATGTAGCAGTATCAGCAGTTCCAATGGTCGCACAGTGTGGATACCACCACAGCACACGTCACACCAGACCCCCGAGTGAGCAGCAGCTAACCCTTTGAGAGCCAATCGAAAATTTCAGAATTCTCCATATTTTCATGTTCTTTGGAATGCAACTTCTAACAGCTACACCTCTCTCTCTCTCTCTCACCTTGGCAGTGTTCAGTGCAGCGCCATAGCCAGTAGAGATACCGCAGCCCAGCAGACAAACCTTCTCCAGTGGAGCTTTGGGGTTCACCTAAGGAAGCATGCAGCAACAATCAGCATAAAACAGACAGCTGCATACACTGTATTCTTGTGCTAAAGATACACAATGGCAAGTGCAATAACACACGTAGGCAAACGTTTTCAATTTACATTGTGCTTGGCAGTGGTAGACAAAAGACACAACATTACCAGGATCGCCGGAAGCAGTTTTTGATTGATCCGACCATACCATGGCCTTTCATACAGTTAGTGTATGATACAGTGGGTACACATAACCTCCTGGACAGTAAACATGAGTTGGTGGACAACAAGTCAGTCCGGTGATGACCTGCCCAACCGGACCGGTTCCGGTGACGGGCCTGACTACCGTACAAAAAAAAGGGAAATGGCTGCTGCGTACCTTGGCAACAGAGATCTCGGCCACCACGGTGTACTCGCTGAATGTGCTGGTACCCATGAAGTGATAGGCCGTGGTGCCCTTGCAGCGGAAGCGGGATGTACCGTCAGGCATCACACCAGCACCCTGAGTGGAACTGCAGCAAAAAACAATAACAACGAAGAAAGTTACTAGAAACCATAGTAGTAACGAAAACAATGACCCGGACGGCAACGAAAGCAAACACAGTACCAGGACCATGTCGTGGTGAGCAAAGCATCTACACACTGTACACCACTGTGTACTTGAACAAACAGCAAAAAGGATGCTTGAATACCAGTGGTCTGGTGACTGTAGCACGGTGTGCATAAAACCCCGCAGTACATGTACATGTAGCTGCACCGGTGCAGGTCTGCACAGTCATAGTCATTGCTTTCTTGTACTGGAACACAGGCAAGAGTCAGTGAACTGAGTCTCTAGCAGCACAGCTCTTGCAGCGGCAGACATATTTTTCAAGCAGCCAGCAGGCCATCCAAGCCACACACACACACACACACACACACACACACACACACACACACACACACACACACACACACACACACACACACACACACACACACACACACACACACTTGCACACACACACACTTGCACATGCACACACACACACACACACATGCACACACACATGCACACACACACATGCACACACACATGCACACACACACACACACATACATACAGCACACACCATGCTCTCACAAGGCCATACGTACACAGAAAGCATGTGAATTGCATGTATACTGTACTGACCGAATCTTAGAGCAGAGGTTGGTCTTTGGACTTTTGCAGAACTTGCATTCACCACACTGGGGAATGTAGAGTGGGACGACATGATCACCTGCAGCCAGGACAGCATACAAGCCAGCACACACACACATTCCTTCCTTCCTTCTTCTCCACTGCCATGACTGGCTAAGTGGCCCCATACGGGGCAGCTCTTGGATTAGCGCTGTCTCCGGGAAGCGGCACCAGGACCCGACGACTGACGTGACGGCGCATTCCCACGGGTTATAATTGCTATTGAACGCCGCGACCTGCAATGACAGGAGTCTGGAGCTGACCGCCGTCCAGCGAGAGCCTCCGCGTTCAAATGCCTCCCTGCATCTGCCTCGCAAAACGACAGCAACCCCTTCACCACGACGAGCAGGCTCATCCCCAGTCGGTGTTGGGCGGCCACTTGTCAAAACTAAGCAATCTCCGACAGTATATTGATGAGAGCCAAACCAAAGCGTCTCCTGGAGGCCAACGATGTCCATTCCATACTTCTTGAGCTGACGACACACAAGGTCAATTTTTCTCTCCTCGCGAATATTCGAACAAACTTTCCTTGATTTTTTTTGCTTTGGACGCCGTATTCAAATTTCCGTCAGTGTCGACAAGAGTCCTGACGTTCCACGTTCCCAGAGACAGAACAACCTTTCGAGCCGCTGGTGCACGCGAGTGAAAAGACTCTGGGCGAGGGTTTGCAAGACCTCTACACCCAGGCGAAAGAGGGTCAGCGCGAGTGGTCACATCCGAAGTGGCCATGTCGTCAACGCTGAATTTTTCCTCCTCCGCGGCAGCAAGATGAAGACTGCCTTGTCTAACACCGCGTCACTAAGTGTTTTCTACTCACCAGGGCTGGCCCTGGCAGAAGCCAGGAGCCAGCCCGTGGCCCTAAACTCACTACGAAGAAAGAAGAGTTCGGAGCCCCAAAAACTGCTTCCTCCTCTCTCAAGAGAAAACACACACACACATACACACACACACACACACACACACACACACACACACACACACACACACACACACACACACACACACACACACACACAAACGCACGCACACACACACACGCGCGCGTGCGCGCACACACGCATGCACGCACACACACACACACACACACACACACCAGGCCATGTTACACTCATCACCCGATGGACAACTGGCACTGTATCTGCCACCTTCGTGGAACATAACTGTGCATAGGCGGCTCAATATTTTCAACCGATTAGACTACGTCACTTGCTGCACGTTTTAGATGTGATGGGCATTGCCTTTCAAAAGGACTGTCATGGTTTCATCACTGAGTGTATCTACCATGGGGAAACAGGCTCATGTCCAGACCATTTTGAGCAATAACATCAGCATGGCATGCAGCTGCATGGAGAAGTCAAGATTCAAGTGACATGCTAGTGCACGCTCCGGTGTCAAGTAACCAAACTTCATGGGGAATTCGCAGCAATGCCACTGGGACTATGTAAATAGAGAAAGGTTTCGCAACTATGCCATTAGGGAGGTTTCACTATACGTAATTACGTACGGAAATAACGTACGGAAATAACGTACGGAAATAACGTACGGAAATAACGTAGGAACCACACGTAATTTCAATGCGTGAAAATCAGTGCTGCTTGGTTTCGCTCTATGTGATTTCTCAACGACTGCTAAGCATGCTTTGTTGCGTTGGAAACGTGTCGGCTACATGCGCCACATGCCCACGTGTTGCCGGCATATCACGTTCTCCATTTGTTTCCCCCGTGTCGCGTACCTTGTGTTTGGTGCGGCTTGAACGTTGCGATGGATAAATCCGGAACATGAGAACAATATTTCAAAAAGTCCTACGGAGGAGGGAACGCAGGAAAGCGCTTTCCTACGGAAATCTGTAGAGAGATTTACGTACGAAAATTGCCCTCGCTCCCCGGGGCGTGCGGCATAGGGATTTTCATATGTACAGTCTGTATCGGCTATAGAGTGACGGGATATAAGAATATATCGGCTACAGTGATATTGGTGCGAAATATCAAAAGCAAAACGTATTTTATCCAGTACAAATATCACTATAACCAATATTTTCGGATGTAATGATATATCGGATAGTATGATGGCAACAAAGAATCAAAACATGCGTAACACACTATATTATTATCGGCTATAGTGATAACTTTAAAATGCATGTACCAATAATATCAAAGACCCTATTTTTTTACTTTCTTCACGTTGCTTATTTTTATAGTGATACATGTACATGTACATAACAGAATTTTGGAAATGCGGGCACTGTCAACTACATGTATGCAGCAAGTATTTCCTTGCCTTTCATGTGTCGATCGAAAAAAAGAAATCGATCGTATCGCATATAGTGATGCATCGGTTATAGTGATAAAATCACGGAAATCAAAAGGGTACGCTATAGCCGATACAGACTGTAATTAGGTAGAGCGAAACCTCTCTCTTATTAGCAGTGTTCTGTATGAATTTGGCAGCACAAGCACTGGTTTAACACTGCATACAAGGCACACACAATGGTGTCATTCACACAACCTCTGTACAAACAAATACTGCAAACCGCCCAATGTTCGCGTCACTCAAGTTTTGCGATCTCTCAGAACCAGCGAGTTTACGATGGCAAGTGTCCACGGAGCACTGTGGCCACACATATACACTCACGGTTGAAGTTTGATTTCGCGATGGTTAATATTTTGCGTTCCGCTCTTCTCGCAAAATTAGCAAAATTAACACGTCGCAAACAATAGGCAGTTTACAGTAATAGGAGTATAATCCTGTACTTACCGGGCTGCACGGAGGTGACTCCCTCGCCGATACTCTCCACAACACCGCCACCCTCATGACCCAGGATACAGGGGAACTTGCCCTCGGAGTCTGCACCGCTCAGCGTGTAGGCATCGGTGTGGCACACACCAGAGTAGAGGACCTTGATGCGCACCTCGCCTGCCTTTGGTGGGTCCACCTGGGTGTCACAGTACAGGAGAAATTGGCAACATTAGGCATTTTCAGCAATTATTCATTAGTCGAGGGAAAGGAAACGGGAAAAGTCTGAAGAAAAAAACTGACTGTTACCACCAGGACTCGAACCAGGGACCTTCGCTTGAGGCCAGCAATTACTTATAATAAAATTTTAATATTATTTTGTGCGCAACAAAAGTACATGCATCCCAACCTGGGCACTTGCCATCCGCTCTAACTCTGACTACTCTGGCACACAACTGACACAGTACCAACAAAACACAGCTAAAGATGTTCAAACGCTTCGGCCATTGGCATTCAACAGTGAGTGTCAGTTGTGCGGAGAGTAGTGTCAGAGTGGAGGGGGAGAGGGGCCGGGGGGGGGGGGGGGGCAAATTCCTGGATGTGAAGATTAGGCTACAGCAGTACAGTACAGGAGGTACATAGCTTACTATCACGAATAAATGTACCGGTATGTGCTATTGGTGAGTATGTATATGCATGCATTGCTGTTGAGCTCAAGTCAGTTTTTGCTTCGAGATTTTGCTATGAGGGTCAGAACAGCAACAGCAGCACCAGCACCATTCCACGTACAGCCATCTTCGGGTTGCATACGGTGTTGCAGGGTCCATACAGTACATTCGATACTTTTCAAGAACAGCCGGGTGGAAAAATGTCCACGTGCATGGTCTAAATCTAAGGCCAGTTGGGGTGTGGTGTGTTGGAGCATACACAGGGTAAGTGCACACAACAACGGGGCTTTAGGCAGGAATTGTACAGCGGAGCGTGCAAGTACCGGCATGGCGCAGGGGACGGTCTGTTCGAGTCATAGTGTCATACACACCAAATCCAAGTCAGGATGGTACTCATACTCACCAAATCCAAGTCAGGATGGTACGGGTATGGTGCAGTGGCTGGGCGGCCAGCTGGGACTGAACAAGCAAATAGGCAAGGGAACAGGGTAGGGGCCCTAGACTAGTGCCAAGCAAAATACGGCATTATAAATGTATAATCCTTGGAAGTGCACCATTGACCATGAACCTACGGCTCTTGCAATTCATGTGTGTAGACTCAGTATGTATGTGCCACCCGCAGTCTTACCTACCTATCACAAGGCTACAGATCTGTTGTGTATAGTTGGATATGTTTGAAGTGAAATGGCACATTACCAGAATCCATAACTTATGGAGAACACAGCTACAGTATCAGAGAAATGTTACCAGGTACTTTTCTTTTCTCCCCCTTTGTCAAAGGCATACTACATCTTGTTCCGTATGGAACATTTGACCTGCACGTGAATTTGAAAAAATACGGCAGTCGCATTATGATGGCTCACCTCCACCTGTTCAATCGTGAGTGGCTTCTTCGGCTCCCATGCAACTGCTGCACGGCACTCAATAGTCTACAACAACGCAAAGACACGACGTTCATCTCCGGCACAAGAATTCACACCGTAGTGGCGATAGAATATTCTTACTTTGCCAACAGTGTCCGCCATGGCTCAAATCAGTTTCCGACACGTTCAGCAAAGGCTACTTGACGAAGAGAAACAAACTGTATGCAATGCAGCACGCTCGATGGGCCACCCTCAAAAAGGTCTTTTTATTTTCCCAGCCCTGCCATCTCACTTGGTGAAGATGACGATTCCGTGAACTTGCTTTGAACCCCCGACAAGCAACAAGATCAGAAGTAGTGTGACCGAGCAGTTTGGGACATCACGCCTGATCCCTTGCCGTTGTCTGGGCCATGGGAGCTTATTTACTTTGGACTCCCAAATCTTGGTGGTGCTAGCAACAGAAAGGTGGATTGCCATGATTCCAACCTGGGAGTATTGAGAAAAAAGATGAGAAAAGACTTTTAAAAGTCTGTTCACACCACGCATGACATATGCAGACACACACACACACACACACGCCTTTGACGTTTTGACGCCCATCGCCAGATGCAGAGGCGATGGTAACAATGCTACAGCAGAAGCCATAGCAACTAAGTTACTTGTTCTAAGATTGCACCATTCAACAATGTGTAAGGCTGAAGAATTGACCACCACCAAGGAGTACAACGTCATGTACATGTACGAGTACTCCCTGACCGCCACTATTCACACACTCATACTCCTGCCCATCGCGGAAGAGATGATAGCGAACAAGCTATGTTAGACATAGCAACTTGAACATCATTCGACCAGCTTGCAAGGCTGAGGAGCTCACCGCCACTAATTTTAGCCTGGTCTACACCACACGGCCGGTTGAAGTGGCTTGCCACTGAATCCCTATTTTCCTTTTTTCCACACACACACACACACACACACACACACACACACACACACACACACACACACACACACACACACACACAAGCATTAAAGCACCGGGTGGGCATTGATATTCACCAAAGCTTGCACTAACTGTGAAAATCAAAGCAAGTATTGTTCTTAGTTCAACAAGAAACAATGCCCAGCAAGAAATGTTTGCGCACTTGAAAAAGCGAGCATGACTGTACAAATCTGCAGAACGCAGACATTTTCGGAAAAAGAGGAATGTAAATAAATATGATGACGAGGCCTATGTACAGATAAAGGAGACAATGACACAGTATTTCAAGAACTTAAAAAATTTAAAATCAGATGGCTGTCATGATCTACTGTAGATTGGTCTATTATTTTTGGACGTTTTCACGGTTGTAGTGTTCTGAAAGCGTAGATTGGGGAATACGCTTCAACATCTCCTTCGGGAAGATGCGCAGCAGCTGCCAGCCGATTTCCAGAGACTCGAAGATGGTTCGGTTTTCATACGCTCCTGATGACACACAAGAACAATGCAAAGGAATGCAATGTGAAAGGAGAAAGTGACGGAAAATAACACAAAAAGAAGAATGATGGCACCGTTGTACTCATGTACAGACGTGTTGAATGCCATCCATCTTCTACACGCCAACACGCAGGCATGGCCATGGCCAAAATTTTAATCGTCTGATTTAGAAGACACTAGGGAGCTTCAGTGACTCGTTGCGAACTCGCAGAAAAATCTATTTCGTTCCGTGTTTGAATTGTGTAATGCGTAAACTAGAGAGGTTAAGTGACTCGTGAACAAGGCGCACTTTGATTGCCATGGCAACACGGCGGCAACTGAAACAGCAACTGGGAGACACCAACAGAAATACGGTAACAACTGCACGGGAACTTGTCTTGCCATGATACCTTTCTCTTAACTTTAAAACCTAGACCTGACCCGCCAACTAGTTTTGTATTAAAAATGAGTCACTGAACCTCGCTCCAGTCCAAAGATTCACGCCATCTGAAAAGTTGAAACCAATCCGAAAAAGAGCCTTTCCATTTTTGCCAGAAACCAGAAAGGTTGACCTGTGTGTGTACGTAGCAATGTGCAGAGGTAAATTCAATGCATGTATGTCACCTTTACCACACGAAGAAAATTGACCATTTTTCAGGTGTCTGGAAAAGGCAGTAGCAGCACTGTATGCCCCCAGGCCCTTCCGGGAGCAGGATTTGAGCTTACTTGCAGTCTAGCCTAATAGCATAGACAGGCACTACATGTTTCCCATGTCAGTAGACAAGCTATATTGTTCTTGTGCACACCTGCATTGGACAAGGCCAACAGAAATGTCACCTTACCTTGTGCAATGAAGTTCTTCTCAAACTTTCCAAGGAACTCCAGATAGAGCAAGTCATCGGGCGTAAGAGCTTCCTCTCCAACCACAGCCTTCATGGCCTGCACATCCTTGCCAATGGCATAGTTAGCATACTGCAGAAGGACAAACAAATACGAGAAAGTTAAATTACCCCGCACCTGAATAAACATTGCTACAGAAAAAATATCGGTTTGCACAACACACTGCACAGCAAATCGCACTAAACACTGATAAGTACAGTACATTGCAGGCTCTCACATGCTCATTGGTCATCACCACTGCATGGCAATCTACTGTAAATCAACACATTTTGGCCGGTGAGAAACTTTGGCCGATCCTGAGATAAACCTTTGGCCGATTGGAGTTTTCAAAAAATGAAATCGATCGGTAGTTGTTGCTCTCACATGCATCATTTGCCTCCATGACAAACTTTGCCTGGTTGGCACCAAGCGGCGAAATCAGCGAAATTAAACCGCCAGCGAAAATTAGTTGATTTACAGTACTTACCATCTGGTTGGACACATCAGAGTGATCACGACGTGTCATGCCTTCGCCAATAGCAGACTTCATGAGACGAGAGAGCGAGGGCAGTACGTTGATTGGAGGGTAGATTTGTCTGTTGTGCAGCTGACGGTCAACATAGATCTGACCTTCTGTGATGTAGCCGGTCAAGTCAGGGATAGGATGGGTAATATCTGCAAAAAGAAACACGACCCAATGTTGCACAGAAAAGTAAAATGGTTACGTAGGTCTATCTATGACAGACACAAGAAAAAACTCTAAAGCGGAGTACCATTTCTGGCATGCATTCGTAAGTTCTGATGCCAGTTCTCCCCCAATTCTGGTCATGCACACAGTCACACACACAAGGCATATGTCCTAACTCTCCAGGACCAAACACAGAGGCCTTACACAAACCAAACTGATGATGCTACTGTCCAGGACCCTATTGCACTTACCATCGTTAGGCATAGTCAAAATAGGAATCTGTGTGATAGAACCATCTCTGCCTTCAACACGACCAGCACGCTGTAGACAGAGGAAAAGGAAACCCGAATATTAAAATATGATGTGATCATACTTGCAGTCCCAGTCCGGACTGGGACGACAGGCAGGTACAGGACGGGCCCACATCTAGTTTGCCTGCATCCGCAAGCTCAGGCATGTACGAAAATGAAAGCCTGTTTGCTAAACAGGCTGGTCTGGTTAGCCAGCTTTCCGGGTGCCTCACATGCCCGAGATCCCGGATGCGGGTAAGGTAACAAGCGGGCCGGAGTTTCACACAGAATCGATCCTTTAGACAAACATGCAGCAAACAACTTCCATCCTGATGGTCATCGGATAGGGTCTGTATCCCACCCCAGTCTGAGTAGAGGCATGGCATGCTCTGGTTCAGGAAATACCAGATACAAGCACCATGAAGATACAATTATCTACAAACAAAACGAGGTGTTGAGCATTCTAGCAACCAGTCAAGAAGGAGTCTACTTGTGCGTGCACCAGGCTTGCTGACTTACTTCGTAGATAGTTGCCAAATCAGTGTACATGTAACCGGGGAAACCACGACGACCGGGCACCTCCTCACGAGCAGCAGATACCTGAGTAAAACAAGCAAAGAGTGATTGGATGGTGAGATATCTCTATAAAATGACACAGACAACCATACTGGAGATATGACTTAAACCAAGAGTTCATAACCCCCCAGAGTGTGCAACTCCACTATGGGTGCTGTCCCGACAGAATTTCAAGTTGACGTCATTTTGATGATGCAATGCGCACTGTACACGGATTATCAGACGAATCCGGAACCTGTGGTTGACCGAAGCCGATCGATCCTGTACAAATTATTGCAAAGAAAAACGTGTGATGCGTTGACACCCGTACACATGTTGTAAATCACTGCTGCAAGGAGCATTGCGTCATAAATAATGACGTCAACTTGAAATTCTGTCGGGACAACAGGGTATGTGGGAGTTGCACACTCTAGGGGGGTTATGTACTCTTGCTTAAACCCACTCAGAAAAGTAGACGTGCAACCCATTCGAACCCATACTCAATTGCAGGATCACTGTCGTACAAAGCAGTGAAGAAGGAGATCAGGAATAAGAATAAGCACACAAGAGAAAAGAAGCAGATGTGTGTGTGTGTATGTGTGTGTGTGTGACCACCAGGGAAGTCAGTGTCAGCTTACCTCACGCAAGGCATCGGCATAGGAGCTCATGTCGGTAAGAATGACCAGAACGTGCTTGCCGCACTGATAGGCCAAGTACTCAGCGGCAGTCAGGGCCAGACGAGGAGTGATGATACGCTCAATTCTTAACGGGAGTAAGGAGAATGAAGAACAAATAGAGGTTATGCGAGTGATGTCACGGTGGTGAGTCAGCGGAACTGCTGATGGGCACTGTGAAGCAGCGGTTTCCATCGTTTCGTTTCAGCTAGTGCATCACCGTGCTGTGCCTTTGCCAAAGCATCTCAACTGATCATGCAATCGCAAAACCTCGACATACTGTGTGTGTGTTGCAGAATGCTGTTGCCAAGCTAGAATGCACTACTAGTTTTGAAAACTTCACTGGCCAAAATAACTAGAAAGCTAAGGCCAATATAATAATCTTCCGTCAATGTGCTCTACTTGCTGGACTTGGTCAGTATCAGTTTCCCATTGCTTGTTTTCAATGATCACTTGCTGGTACAAACTGAATGTACAGCACTTGAAAGCAACATCCTGACATAGATATCTGGTGAAAATGCTAGTCTTGGTGGGAATGTCACCGCCCATTGCACTACAACAATGCACACATACTTCTAACTAAATGCATTGCCATGGATAGAGAGGTTCATAGTAGTGGGAAGGAGGCGCGCAGGCAGAAACGTGATATCATACTGCATGGGGAACTCACGTCGGATCGTTAGCCAAGTTCAAGAAGAGGCACACGTTCTCCATGGAGCCGTTCTCTTCGAAATCCTGCTTGAAGAAACGAGCAGTCTCCATGTTGACCTGTACACACCATGCAGCAATGAGCATAGGATACAATATCACAAGTTAGTAGGAATGTGCTGCCTTAGAAGGGATTACTGACAACTGCAAATGTACGGACACTGACTTGATGATCATAGGGAACACCGCGAGTGAGTCCACAGGGTATGACTGCATTGAAGGAAATTGCTCACAACCGTGCATATGTACAGACACTGACTTAGGCAAAGCAACACGACTTACACCCATGGCGGCAAAGACGATGGCAAAGTTGTTGCCAGCTTTTCCGTCCTTCTTGTCACCGGCATCTACAAGGCCAGCCTGTCGGCAAATCTGAGCGGCGATCTGTAATGAGTCAAGGAGAGGGAAATTATTAGTTTGCATGGATAGAAGAAGATTCTCTTTGGGTAACACACTCAAGGATTCTGCAGCCCAAAGAGCATATTCTCCACAGATAACAGACACATTTCAACTCGATGTAAAATTATGAAAATAAAAAGGATTCTTGAACCCGACACAAATGGGCAACAGACCACCAATCTTCTTCAGTAAAGCAATGATTTTGGAAACGCAACATTGCAAAGCCAAGTAAGTTGGAGAAAGCCGAAATGGCTCTGACATGCTAGCTGGCCAGAATTGGGTAATCATATCACCAAATCTCACTAGTGGCAACCAGGTAGCACCGGGTTGGCTAGACAAGGGTGAGCTCCAATGGGAAGCACTTCTATTTGCATTCCGGGGCTAGCTAGAACTATATTATATAGATTGCAACCGCATTGGTTCGCATGCTTGCTTCAAACCTTACAGTCATGTCATTTGCATACTCACCCACCTGGTACATGTGCACGCTAGCAGTGATCGTAACTTACTTCGTTGTGAGGAAGACCAGCAGCAGAGAAGATTGGGATCTTCTGACCTCGGGCAATGCTGAAATGTACAAAACACAGCAATCGGGGAGGACATGCTATCAAATTTAATGGTATGACACCATTTGAATGATGCCAGCAAATGTTCAGCACATAAAGCCAAATATTACATGAAATGACCACTACCACCACCACCCATGCCGGAGACCACTTGCATGACGAAATAAGTGTGCCTCGGAGAGTTCAAAGCAATCAGGGACCACCGGAGCTCTGTTGATATGACAAAACATAAGTACATGTACCGTAAAATCCCGGCAGAGCGCCCCTACCTCCGCCACCCTTCGAGAAGGTCCAGGTGGGGAGGGGAGGATGGGCGAGTCCTACTTGCCGCATTCTCTACTACATGAAACATTACCCACCCTACGAAAACATTGCGTGTGTCTCGTACACCGACAGGCGGTCAAGAGTAGGGAGTCGTAGAGAATCCATCAAAACCCAGGGTTTGTGCGATCCATGGTCAAGAGGGTGTGAAGTTGTGAACTGTTGCGTACATGCAGTGAAGAGCAAGCGAACGCTAAAGTTTGTTTGTACCCAGAAATTTCGTTGGCATGCATTGTCAAGTATGTGTGGCGTCATCACTTCGAAGCCCTGTATAGTCCCCTCACATACCTGTTCATGGTGTCGATAGCAGAAATACCAGTCTGGATCATTTCCTCCGGGTAGATACGCGACCAGGGGTTGATGGGCTGACCTGGACGAATGATGAAAGCAGACAATAATAAGTGCAGACAAAATGAGAACCAAAAAGGGAAGATAACATCGAAGCAAATGCCAACTATGTTGGAATATTGGCAGCAAATACAATTGAATGACAGCCAGCTCTAACCATTCACCATATATATAGAATGGGTGCATTATCACCTTCAATATCATAACCCTACTGTCAGTCATGACTACCTTGAATATCCAGGAAGTCCTCAGCCATGATCGGAGGTCCTTTGTCGATTGGCTTTCCAGAGCCGTTAAACACACGTCCTGAACACAACAGACAAGGCCAGCAGATCACACAGCAACGTCAATATCCCCAGAGCCTACCACTGTGCATGATAAAAAGGGGCCACTTTCTATCCAACTGTGGGTAACTCTGGGCAGATATGCCAGCACAATAGCAATATTTCTGAATATGCAAGATACACCACTTGGTAGACAGACAGAGGTGACATACTAACATAGGCTGCGGCTAGTTTCCACCGAGCACCCTCAGCGCAGTACAAAAATTCAGGGATGGACTTAGTAAGCCATCATGAGCAGGACATCAGGCTAACAGCATGTACCAACACTAGAGCAAACGTATACAGTACTAACCGAGCATGTCTTCGGACACTGGCATTCTCATGATGTCACCAGTGAACTCGCATGCAGTGTGCTTGGCATCAATACCGGAGGTACCTTCAAACACCTATGTCGACGATGACCAAACGTGACAACAACAGCAACAAAACAAAGATATGTAAAAAAAACCGAAGTTTTGAGGTTTCATGCAGTTACATCCGGCGAAGTAGAAGACGAGTCATGTGAACACACCCATTCGAAAATACACTGCCAATCCTAAGCAGTTTCAAACTTTTCCATATATATTATAACAACATGTTGGCGCTCGGCCATCACCAGGAAAAAACAATGTTTGTAGATGATGGCAAAGTGATGAAACGTTATAAAACGAAGGTGATTGGGATTTGCAGTAGATTTTGGAACTTGTGTCCACCTGATCCATCTTTTGCCAAATAATGCAGATTGCTCAAACTCTTACAAAGTGCATTATGTAAGAACATGGCCCTCAGGGAAGTGTTTGCACAGTACATTGTGGTTTGTGTTGGGTGAAGAATGTAGTCTTCTGTAGTCTCTCTCTCTCTCTCCCTCCCTCTAAGTAAAAGGAAAGGATGCCTTTCACTGCAAACAAAGGAGCTAGCATTGCATGATAAAATACTAGTATACATGCATGGATAGAAGTGCTTTCGGAGTGTCCTACAGCACCTAAGGGTAGACATGTTATCAGCATCTCTCAGGCAACCTAAACGTAGTTCAGAAACGGGAAAATCTTCAACAGTTCAGCGCCGACTGGGTGACAAGTCCTACCTGCACAACGGCCTTGTCGCCGCTGACCTCCAAAACCTGACCCTGGCGCTTGGTTCCATTGGGCAAGGTCAAGTTGACGATTTCGGCAAACTTGGCAAACTGGCGAGAGAAAAAGATAACAAACACGCAGGGGCACATAAGGAAGAAGGGGGCGAGGTTAATCCGTGGTTGGTTATAATCCCCTCTTTCGCACTTTGTGCGCCAATTGGTCATGAACCACGAGTTGAGGGAAATGGAAGGCGTAATAGTTGTGTGAAATCAAAATAAATAAATCTGGCCCACATAACATATAGACGGAGACTACATAAAACACTGCGAAGAAAGCGGGGACAAAGAGTTGGAACGGCATGCATACCTTAACTTTCTCAAGGATTACAAGAGGACCATTCACACCGGCCACAGTCTTGTAAGCTGCAGGAAACCAAGGTAGAAACAAGACGCACAAAGCAACAGCAGACAGAAGTAGGAGTGCTCAGTAAGTGTCTTATTACTGTCACATGAAGATAACCCCTCCCCATCACGACTACTAACAAGAACAACTATGTTGACTAAGTAACCATCTACCCCACGTATTTATTTACTTTAATCTCTGAGACCCCGCAGCCATACGGAGTTAGGATTGTGATTATCGCCCACTATCAAGAGGTGGCAAGATAGGTAAGCCGCACGGTGTGTCTACCATGTTGCTCAGAATTCTAGCCTACTGTCCATGAGATGGAGTCAATGAAGGCTATGAAACAGAGCTCTAGTTCTCTTGCCATCACTTTTTCAACGAGGCCACACAAATCTGCTATGACACAAATACAAGCTCTCCTTGACAGGGGCGTCGGAAGGAGTTTAACATTGGTGCGGCCAAAGTGTGAGAGGGGGTCTGGGGGTCCTCCCCCGCGAAACTTTTTGAAAATTGGGCCTAAAAAGCCATATTTTAACGCTACAGAATAATAAAAAGGATATGCATGCTGATGATACACCGCATTGTCGATGTAAAACATGGTACCTGTAGTAGCTTTACAAGAGTCGACAAGCCACCAACAAGGTTGAAATGTAAAAAAATAAAAAAAACTTCGAAAATTATTGGTGCGGCTTTGGCCGCACCTGCCGCACCGGTCCTGACGCCCCTGCTTGATACCAACTCAGTATAAATAAACACTCTGGCGACAGGTGCAAATTGTGGGAACAAGGGATGAAGCCCAACAATACGGCGAGGTGATACAAATAGACGCGATACGCTAAGATGACAGGTGCTATTTGCTGTACGACAGGGAGTTGAAACATCTCGGGAGATGTCACAGGCAAGTTGAGCGTGAACGGTTTCGCTGCCAGGCTGCCCATTCCAGTTGCCCTTGTGCGAGTCAATTCCTGCAGACGTTTGTATACCATCTATGGTCTGGGTAACGTTTGGGGTCAGAAGGTCGGGGCCTCCACTGCCATCTAATGCTACATAGATTACGCATCGCGTAGAACTTCAAGTTTTGGAACTGAAATGCGCATCATTTCAGTCACGTTGGTCTTGGGTTGTCTCCATACATCGCTAGATGCTTCAAATCCCTGGAAGGGGCGTCAGAAGGTATTCTACATGTCTTTTGTGCGGCTATGAAAAGGCAGGGGTCCGCACCTGCCGCACTGGTTCTGACGCTCCTGCCTGGCATAGTACACATAGCGAGGATTGAGAAAATGCAGCCTCATGGAAAAGTTAGCACCCTGCTCCGGTGAAAAGACCCGTGTTCGTAATGCAGAGATATCATAGTGCATGGCGCTAGTACACTCAAGACATCACGCCACGAGGCTGAATACCAGCATGTACAACGACATACATGTCGAAAGGGTATGCTTCTTTGATCTGGATTCATAATTATCTGACATGTAGTGGCATAATTATCACACCTGAGCAAAGTGTGTAGGACTATGTGGAGTTACATGTATTGGGTAGTGACATTGCACGGTGCCATGATACCGGTAGGTGGCCCGGCACTCGACATAGAGGATGCCATGCATGTGAAAATGCACATACAGTACAATACTTTGGTAAGTATCTGCGCAAATCTGGCTCTCCTATGCAAGCCATGCTCGACACTACTGTTGTATGTAGCCTGACATCTTGCAGGTCAAGGTAACATAATATTACATGACATGCATGTGGTATGACTCGACGAGAACGTGCATGGTGTCGATAGTGTACAACATGCACACTCAGTACAGTAGAATGGCAGGGGTGATGACAGTACAAGGCTGTCAACAACTCCGGCTCGACACATACATGTAGGAACGCCGCATTCGTACACCGAATACACCCTATTGTAAACGGAACATTCAAATATACTCATACATAGTCATAGACAAAATGTGGAGAGGATCAGCAACTGGCTGTAGATGTACATATGTCAGAGCTATCAATGACATCATTATCATGTTTTGTGAGATATTACAGTCTAGCTTCACGATCGCGCAAACCGCGAAGGAAGGAGGAAGAGACGAGAACAGCCTCACACCAGTTACAAGTACGAGTTTTGTTTTAGTGCTCACGGAATGTCACATGCACATAGGAAGGAAGACTGAGAGTTCTGTCGAAAATCTCCTCTCATCAGATTCTCAATGTACTCAACGATATTGAGAACATTTACCGCCTTCGGGCAAACCGATACTCGAAACCACATGGCACGCAGACGACCATTACATCTTCATATAGGCAGTACTTACTTGTCGATGGGTCCTTCCTGTAATTCTTTCCAGGGGTCAGCAAACCTTCGGCAGTGCCGCCGAGCATATCAAAACCTACAGTCGCCATCGTTCCGAAATTTGAGTGTGATTATTGAGCATGCGCACAAGCCTTATCTATGGTGGCTGTTCACTTCCTTCTTCCCCACAAAACTTTGGAGACGGCGTGCCGTTGTGTGCTCCGGAGGCCGCGGGACAAGCACTGATATTTCTTTGGTTTGCGTTAAGATCGGATTTTAATTCTAGCAGTACAGCATGATAGCTTTGGAATTCGTAGACTTCTGGCCGTCACTCCAAGGTTAGGAAATGCCAGAGGCATCTCCTAGAAACTTGGAATGTGCAAAAAAAGTGACCACGCTTGCATCCCCGGCATGCCGCATAATGATCGTTGGACGATGGAGCTGCACTACACGTGGAAGTGAACTAAAGTGCATCATGTCTCTGAGGACCCGCAAGCTTGGACTCAGACTTCTGAAGGTTCGTGGCTGTTTTTTTATTTCAGGTATTTACGGTCCATTTAGTTTTAATTTTTGAGGATCTACATAATTATACATGGTTGTATAGAGTTGATAATCAAGCGAGGTACGGAGGGCTTGATGGACCAGCCCGATCCATGGCTTTGATCAGTCATCAAGCCCGACGGTACATGTACCTCACTTGAACATGGTTCAGACCGGGGAGTCGTATAAACCCGGGTTTATACGACTCCCGGCTTCAGACGGCCCCCCACATTTTGAATCGCTTTATTCTTTGGGTGATCTCGAGTATGGAGCCATGTGCATGCAATGTCGGTCCGAGTTCGGTGATTTGGGATTTCAGAGCAGCTTCTAAAGTCTAAAAGGTGCACGCCGTTTTCGTGCCGTTCGTAAGTTTCACACAAACTTTACAGGAAAGGGTGAGTCATGGACGATCGACCTGTTGTTGATGAGAACATTCTCGAGACTGATACTTACTAGTAGTTCTAGTCCTGGTGGTGACAGTCAATTTTTTCTTCAGACTTTTCCCTTTTCCATTCCCTCAACCAGTGAATCTGTCCCCGGGGAAAATCGCGATTCCGCGGCCGCGTTTTTTGCCATTTTTTAAAAGACCGCGTTTTCTGCGATTTTCCCCGCGATTTTTGAACCTTTTGTTGCACTACACGTACACACAGTGCACTGTTCAGTCAGCAACGTCTCATCATGGCGGCTTTGTACTCAAATATGACCAATGCTTACACCAGAGACTTGTAACTGATTGATTTCACTACATACTCACTGAAAATTGCCTCATATCAACTGCAAACTTGCCGCATATCAATAATATTCACCGCGTATTTACCGCAAATTCACCGCAAATTATGCCATCTTATGCTGCGTTTTACCGCGTTTTTTTGCGATTTTTTCCGTGATTTTCCCCGGGGACAGGTGAATAACTGATACTTAGGTAAAGTATCCGATTACCTTGATCATACACATATTCTTCACGCTGAGAGCTCTGCAGTGCTGGAGCTCAGGGAGTCGTAAAATATGACTCCCTGTTGGAGCTAGATTTCAAACTCCGCAAGTTGAGAGCCACCTCATCCCCGACCACCACCCGTGTTGGTTTCATGTTCTTATACTTCGAGTAGTAGCCAGACCACCGTGAAAAGAATGAGACCTACCAGTAACTAGTGGGCATGACCAGGCCTTTGATGATTCCCTGTATCAGTTGCCCCTGACTGCGGGCACTGACGGCAAATTCAAAGCCTGCTCTCCGAGGCAGCTGATTGGCCGTGACCTAGCAAAGGGCATGAGGGTCGTTTGAGCCCTGATTCATGTACCGGTACTGATGAGTAGCCCTTTCCCAAAGGTGCTCGCCCTTTTTTTGCCCTTTTTGGCCCTTTTTGGAAAAGCCCGTTTCTTTCGCCCTTTATTGCGTTTTTTGGTGAATATCGCCCTTTTTGAGCTTTTTTAGCTGAAAAAGTGCTAAAATCTGTTTGCTCATGCATGCGATCACAGTTTCCGAGTGCTCGATGGGCCTTGGCACGCCGCTTTTTTTTGGGGGGGGGGGGGCAACAAGTTGTGAAGCCTGTACACAATGACAATGCTGTAAAAAGTGGGTTTTTTGAACTTTACTTCCTGTTTTGCCTTTCGTGGACCGATAAATGAAAGAGTGCGTATTCATTCAAGTTCTCAGCTTGGGTTCATATCTGAACATGTATCATGGCTATGCTTCACTGAAAAAAGAGCACTTTTTGCCTGTTTTCACTGAAAAAAGAGCACTTTTTCAGCATATTTTGAGGGACGCGAAAAGCACTAAGTGCGCCTTTGGGAAAGGGCTACTGATGAGTGATGTACACTGCTCACATAGCAGAGTCACCAACACATCATTCCTGCAGCATAGGATTTATGCACATACTGTACCGTGCTGCGTAACACCGTGTATGTCGCATGATTAATTGCCCGAGTAGCGGCGAGTACGAGTGAGTACAAGGCCAGCTTCCGCAGTCCGAGTCACCGTGGTCACTGCATGTATGTAGGCACTACATGTACAACCCTTTTAAGAGCGGGAAGTAAATTGTTTCCTTAGAGACAAAAAAAAGCTAGATCCGTGACTGGGAAAAAGACCACAAACTTCAGGTTCTTCACTACCAACATTCTGAAAAAGTTTCACAAGTAGACTTCCATGCCTTCTCCTCATGGGATGTGCAGGCAACGAACAGAGGAACAGGAGCAATGAGCTAAGATAAGGATGACCGTAAAAGGTGAAACGATGTGAAGAAACATAACAAGCGTGAAATGTAGTGTGACAACAATATAGACAACCAATGAACATACATTTAATTAACGAGTTATTGACGACCTACATTTACCTAACATCCTTGTAAGTGTGAATTTGATCTGTTTGCAGAGGTTAATTTATACAGCTTTCAAAACATTCAACAACTGAGGAGAAGGCACGGAAGTTGACTTGTGAAACTTTTTCAAAACGTTTATTGCCACTCTCGCTATAATATGCCATTCAGGACAACATGCAGAGAATGAGGAGACAGAGAGACAGAGAGAGCCGGTGACGGTACATATTAGGTACATGTATGAAGAATGTAAGAATGTGTACAGTGCTGCAGAACTTTGTGTCGAGAAAGAAGGAAAGATCAGGTACAGACGTACAGTCCTATTGAACAAGAAGGCGAATAAGTCAACAACAGCCAGAGATAACTTGTACTCTTGCTTGAACATGTATATGTATTTGTCTGGGTTATTATTGTTTCGGAGGCGGGTTTTTCCCCAGTTAAAGTCCATTAGCCTTGCTGAGGGGCTCGCCAGGCATGCTTATCCGCTGCTACCTGGCTACGTTACGTATCCGTGTGAAGTCCCTCATGTCCGAAACATAGGATCGAAAGTCACTCTCCCTTTAGGGTCGTATCTGCCTTGATTGTGCCCACAAAAAGGCACATGATGACTGTGCGGTCGATGGTCGTCCTCAAAATGCAGCCGAATCACATCGAGTTTATCAGTCAAATAAATACTGTAAAACAATTATTGTGTACTCAGTATCAATTATCGACATGACAACATAACAGATTGAGTAACATTATCATAATGTTGCCATTGTTGAGTGAATCACCTAAAATCTAACTGCAGAGTAGTAAGAACTACTAAGAAATGCCTCTAATTTTAGTGGTGGATGATCTCAATGAGTCACCAAGTATCTACTAGTAGTACATGTAGTAGCAAGAGTACATAACCCCCCGTTATGTACTCTTGGTAGTAGATCTACATGATTGTACTACACTCTCTCTACATCAGTAGTCTGTGCGGCGGTCATTGCAATAAATTGTAGATGTACTGATCTACATGTATGCCAGGCTAAGGTTTGGACAATGCGTGTCCAGACCTGGACCAGATTGGATGCATGCATGCACACAATGACATGTGTATGTCATACTGTCAGTCGAGGCTCGTATTGCTGATCGTAGATCATGGCATCATGTGCCACTCCAGGTAAAAGGGACATACATGTACTACTTAGTACTACTATTACTAGTAAGTAATACCGGTACATCTGGTAGATCCTACATGACTCACCGATCGACTGTACTGTCTGTAGTGTAGATTTGCCTAGATAAACCTCTGTATTTTTAGCGTGCATCGGGGGTGTCAAATATTTAGTTAGACAGGGAGTCGTATTATACGACTCCCTGGCCTGGCGTACATCTAGATCTCGCGACGACAAAACAATGAACACTGCAGCTATGCAGCGAGGGAAGGAACGTCGAAGGTCATCGGGACTGGTGCCGGGGGTGGTGTTTAAGAGCTGTTCCCGGTGCTGGCGCTGAGCATAATGCTGCTGGCGGGTTCGAACAGTATCAGCCCGTGGTTTGGGGGAGGGCGCATGCGTGTCAGACGGGGTGGGCCCTTGCAGTTAACTACCTTGTAGAGATAGGACAGCCCTGCGACCGTCCGTCTGGCCCACAGACTCTGGAGGACGGCGGTGGGTCCAATCATCTGCATGGCCTTACGCTGTGCTGTGTCCAACTTCCCAAGGTGGTTCTGGGCAGCACCAAGCCAGGCTAGTGGGGCATACTCAAGTATGGGCCTTACAAAGCCCTTATAGACGGTTAGGCGTCCAGCAGCGTCCAGGATGGGGGTTGCCTTCCGCATGAAATGGAGGCGTTGATGTGCGCGCACTGAAAGCTGGTGGAGGTGGGCGCTGAAGTTGAGCTTCTCGTCGAACACCACCCCAAGGAGCTTCAATTGGCTGCTGACAGGAACAGGGGTGCCAAGGAATTGGACAGGGGGGAAATCTGGAGGGGCCAGCTTCCTGGTCACGGACATCAGCTGTGACTTAGAGGGCTCAAAGGTAACCCTCCAAGTACTTCCCCAGGCTTCCAGCTGGTTTACGGCTGTCTGAAGTGCAGCTGCGGCGGCCTCTGTGGTCTGTCCAGGCATGACAGACGTGTATAACGTAGTATCATCAGTATACACGGCAATGGAGACGCTGGCAGGTAGCTGATCTTCGGCGTCGTTTATGTATACTAGAAACAATGTGGGCCCTAGGATGCTGCCCTGCCTGACCGGAGGGTAGAGGGGGTAGAGGTCTGTCCCCCAACAACAGCTTGCAGCTTTCAGTTCTGGAGGTACGATG